CCATGTTTTTTTTAGAATGGATAGAAAAATTGGATGAAAAAATAAGAGAATCAAACCGTCACATTTTACTTATCCTTGATGGTGCTCCCTCATATGTTACTGGTTCTCTCAACTTGACTAATATAAAAGTACTTATGTTACCTCTACATGCAACATCAAAAATCCAACCCATGGATGCTGGTATAATTGCATCATTCAAACTTCATTATCGTTATTTACAACTTCAACATGCAATTGATCGTGATGAAGATGGGGAGAAAGACATATATAAAGTCGATCAATTGCAAGTAGTAAGCGATTATTTGGTCAAGCCAGAAATCAGTAGATTTATTTTGGATTCTTTTTTTTTTTTTTTTTTTTTTTAATTTAAGATTAAAATTGTTAAAAAAAAAAAGAGTACAAATAAATTTTTACTGACTCGTATCACTAATTACAGACTATAAAATGGACAAAGATTGTCTGAAATAAAGTATCTCCTGAAACGATTAGGAGATGTTGGTTCCACACAAAAGTTGTATCTCCTCATGATGAAAACAGAGTACCTGTCACCCCATGCTATTGTTGAAAGCATTGATGATGTGAAAGAAAACCTACCTCCTGATCCAAATGATGAATTAACAGTCAAAGAACTTCAGCAGCAAATAGACATATTACCTGTTCAGAATCCACTGTCAATTGAAGATTTATTAAACCTTGAAGAAGAATGAGAAGCATACTACCAGTTTACCGATGAAGATCTAATCCAAGCTGCGACAGAAGTCAAACAGGTAGAAGAGGAATTCGTAATGCCAACCTTAACTGGAGAAGAGCAATTGAATATTTTGCGTGGTGTCTTGAGGATTGTAGATAAAAGAATCAATGATGGTAGTGTAACAATAAAATCCTTATGCAAACTACAATCCTGTATTCGAGAAGAGGTTCGGAAAGAGAAGGCCAGAAAGCAAGTTCAATGTAGATTGGATCAATACTTCACTTGAACAAAGGATTGTTTTAGTTTTACTTTTTCTTTTCTTTCAATATTTGGAAAAAATCTTGAAAAAAAAAAATTGTGCCATAAGATAAAAAAAAAAAAAAAAAAAAAAGGTATTAGCAATGTAAAAGAAGGGAATGAAAAGTAATAAATGCAATACAATAATGAAAGTCATACTTATCTGAGATCTGTATACTGTACTTAATAATAAGTACAGTCAGACCCCCTCTAAATGCTACCCTTCTAAAAATACACTTGAAAGAGAAATATATGAATTAAAGTATCAGAAAGTCAAAAAGAAACAATAGAGTTACAAGATCACAGAAGCCAATCAAATCATTAATTATTAAGCAAAATGTGAAATTGTACAGTTAGACTCTCTCTAAATACAATATGACGGCCATATGTAAAATTTAATCAAACGTGCACTTAGAGAGATATTGTATTTAGGTAGGTAGAAATCTACAAGTGTAATATTAGTTAAGCCCAAGAGAAGATGTCCTTTAGAGAAGCTTTTCATAGAACGTGCATTTTTAGAAGGGTAGCATTTAGAGGGGGTCTGACTGTACTTATTATTAAGTACAGTATACAGATCTCAGATAAGTATGACTTTCATTATTGTATTGCATTTATTACTTTTCATTCCCTTCTTTTACATTGCTAATACCTTTTTTTTTTTTTTTTTTTTTTATCTTATGGCACAATTTTTTTTTTTCAAGATTTTTTCCAAATATTGAAAGAAAAGAAAAAGTAAAACTAAAACAATCCTTTGTTCAAGTGAAGTATTGATCCAATCTACATTGAACTTGCTTTCTGGCCTTCTCTTTCCGAACCTCTTCTCGAATACAGGATTGTAGTTTGCATAAGGATTTTATTGTTACACTACCATCATTGATTCTTTTATCTACAATCCTCAAGACACCACGCAAAATATTCAATTGCTCTTCTCCAGTTAAGGTTGGCATTACGAATTCCTCTTCTACCTGTTTGACTTCTGTCGCAGCTTGGATTAGATCTTCATCGGTAAACTGGTAGTATGCTTCTCATTCTTCTTCAAGGTTTAATAAATCTTCAATTGACAGTGGATTCTGAACAGGTAATATGTCTATTTGCTGCTGAAGTTCTTTGACTGTTAATTCATCATTTGGATCAGGAGGTAGGTTTTCTTTCACATCATCAATGCTTTCAACAATAGCATGGGGTGACAGGTACTCTGTTTTCATCATGAGGAGATACAACTTTTGTGTGGAACCAACATCTCCTAATCGTTTCAGGAGATACTTTATTTCAGACAATCTTTGTCCATTTTATAGTCTGTAATTAGTGATACGAGTCAGTAAAAATTTATTTGTACTCTTTTTTTTTTTAACAATTTTAATCTTAAATTAAAAAAAAAAAAAAAAAAAAAAAGAATCCAAAATAAATCTACTGATTTCTGGCTTGACCAAATAATCGCTTACTACTTGCAATTGATCGACTTTATATATGTCTTTCTCCCCATCTTCATCACGATCAATTGCATGTTGAAGTTGTAAATAACGATAATGAAGTTTGAATGATGCAATTATACCAGCATCCATGGGTTGGATTTTTGATGTTGCATGTAGAGGTAACATAAGTACTTTTATATTAGTCAAGTTGAGAGAACCAGTAACATATGAGGGAGCACCATCAAGGATAAGTAAAATGTGACGGTTTGATTCTCTTATTTTTTCATCCAATTTTTCTATCCATTCTAAAAAAAACATGG